AGACACACATGTAAGAATCAGAAGGTATAGGCACATTAAGTCTCTCTTCAGAGTTACAGGGCTTTAGTTTTCATCTTATTTTGACTTCTTTTTCCTGGAGGATTTTCCTGGTTAGCTTTACATGTGGGTTACTGAAAACTGCCTAACGTAAACTGTTTAGTATAATCAGTACCACAGCTGAGCCTGGACATACATAAGGCTTCCCCAAAATTGTACAACTCTTAAACTGGTTCTAGACACCAGAGACACAGAAGGTCTACTAAGTGATCCAGCCCACTTCCCAGTCTCATTTATATGCTGGATTTTTCTGTGGTTCATCCAATTTAGTTTTAAACTGTCACAAGTGACATGGCTTCCTCAACTTCCTGCAAGAGACAATTCAGTACTCTAATAGATCTTGCTGTCAGGATGTTTCCCCTGATATTGTGCATAATCCTTCCTTTTTTAATTTCATCCCATTAATGCAAGTTATACTCCCTTTCCCTTAATTTATATCATTGTTTTTCAAAGGAAACAAAAGTTTTAATGAAAAGGAAGCCTGTCTTATGTAAACAATAAAAATTCATGTTAGAAAGAAACACTTGCCTGCTTCTATGAGCCAGGGAATTAATATGAGGAAAAGCAATACAGGGCCATAGCTCATGCTGTGTTGTGGTCAAACAGAACTCCAGCAATAAAGTTGCAAGACCTTCACTAATTCCACTACCTATTATTCAGGTAGGTTATAAATCTAGTAAACTTTTTCCATTGGCCAACCTTACTTACTAATCAAGTTTAATTAGCAATTTATGTTAGGGCTTGATTCCAAGCTCTTTGAAGTCAGTGGGATTCTTTCCATTAGTTTTATCTGGATCTGGATGATGCCGATATCATACATGAAAACACTACTGCATTTAATAGTATGCTAACAGCACAAAAGCAATTAATGTGGGAATATCAAGAAAATACTTTTTCATAATACCTTTTACACATTTTACTTTTGTTAAAGTATCTGATGAAATCACCTGAATCCTGTATTTTTAGAGCAAGACAATTTTTCAAACCCTCTCAATTTTCACTTTAAAATTATTTAAGCTGTAACAGCATGCTGAGTGAAGTATCAATTTCTTTGACAAGGAATTCTTTTTCCATATGGTTTCAGTAACAAAAAGCTTTAACCTGTTTACAGTAATTATAAAAGCAGTAATGTAAGTACCTCTCCTCAGTATTACTAGACCAATTTAAGATAAGGTTTCATAGCCCATGTATTATCATTTTCTTTCTTCTCCCTTTATAGTTATCTGGTCAGTTGAATTTCACAGAACAAATTTTCCTATGGGAGTATAGAGGAACGTGCTAATAGCAGCTGCATTCTACCTCTCTTGCATAAAGTTCAGAGATGTTAAATGCATTCCAGCATACACTCTCGACCAACCCTGTGCTCTGCCTCTCACAGATAGTTTTGGGTCTTTTATTTTGATAAATGACTTGGCATTCTGAAGGGTGGTCAATTTTCATCCAAGCAAAACAGGCTGATGTACTGGCAATGAGATAACATCTCACAGCTTTGCTCAGTGATGTATACTAAACCTTCTAAGCAAGGCATGAATGTATATACATCAGTATCTAACATATGGACTTCATCTCTTTCCCTCTTCTAGGCACTCTCTCTCCCTTTAGCTATGTGCAGGCAAAACTCTCGTGTTCGTGCTAAATCGTTGCTAGTCCAGTCAAAGTAAACAAAGTAGAGATAATGTTGCTTTTCTTTCCAGCCAGAAATGCTGGTTTCCTGCTTAAATGCATACCTCTGATGGTGGCTCACTGGCAGAACTTGCCTTAGGTAAAAGAAACATAATTATGCAATTTTCAGCTAAAATATTTTTGCCCTTAAAGAAAGAGGGAAACTGAGATCTAATCCAATCTCCCAAGGAGTATCCATTTGTGAAATTAAAACTATTTTATTGATCTAAGCTAATTTCTATTAAAAAAAAAAAAGACATTTTGACTAGGGTTTACATAAAGCTAGCAAGCAGCAATTTAGTGGAGCCCTGTGGCCTGTATGGAGTTCATACTGGTGGGCCAGAAAGTCAGATGTGTTTGGAATGAAGTATATTACATTCACAAATTACATCTATAGAATGGCTAGGTTATATATAAGATACAGATATTAATAAGACATGAAGTACAAACAAACAGTATGTACTATTTCTACATTTACACATTCCAAGGGGAATGAGGGCACTGCTGTCTCCTTATCACGCTGTCAATCTTAGAAGTCAGTTTTGCAGACTTAAACAGAGTGAAGCTGAAAGGCTTGCAACATGTTATATTTAATGGAACTGACTGAACTAATTGCTGTGAAAGTACACTGTCACAGCCAAATAAAGCTAGATATGAAGCAAGGCTATGGTTCACTATGAAATTGTCTTTACACAATATAATTATGACACCGGATCACAGAGGTGGTGATGCAGTTCAGCCCACAGCAGTGACACATGGCTAGTACAAGTACTACTTAATAGATACAATTCAAGACATCATATTTCTCACAATTAAGGGTTCTATAATGTTTTATTTTCAATGCAAATGAGCTGTTTTTTTCCTCACCCCACTACCTAGCATGCAGAACAACATACTTCACCCAGCAAGCAGCTGGGCAACAGTCCCTTGCCTGAAGCTCCTACAAAAATACAATATGGAAAAGGCCAATAAAACTTTCTCATATTTTCACCGGTCATGCCTCTTCTGATCTTTTTAGTGCTTGGGAAAGTTCTGATGCAACCTTTTATGGCTTGGCACTTCCCCCACGGGGCAGCAATAATCATCAGTGCTTAGGAAATCCGCTTTTCTACACTGTTATGGAAAGCAGCAGTTAATTTGTGTTTCTCATCAGAATTTATCATGGAGTTCATTGTATCTCAAAGGCAGGGAAGGCACTAGAAAATCCCTGTGCTGTTCTTCTCTTAGCACTTGCCTATGTTTGCCAGAGGAAAGGTTCAGCTGGGGCAGAGGTTTCCCTCCACTGCAGGTGTGATTTCCCTGGCATTCATGGTGATGTTGTTGCTGAGAGAAAGGGCAGGTACTGGGCTGAGATCAGTTTAAATATGTGCTGATCCACTGGAGGTGAGCCACTGTTCATTAAAAGAGTGGCTCCTACCCTCTGCTCTTGGAGACTGCTGCCAGACATTGGTGCAGCTCTATGTCTTCCATTTAAAAATTAATCCAAAGCCAAAAGCTCGACCCTACTTTCACTTTACACTGTTGGGTTCCCAGTTAAAAATGTTCCAAAACTGCAAAGTGGGGATGTTTCTCTGCAGCAGTTTTCTAAGCATCTTAAGTTCCTGCACAGATTATAACAACCTCATTTCAGCCACAGGGTATCTTCTCTGACATCAGCAAATTTGGCTCAAATATCCTCCAATAGATGGACAATTTGTTTTCATAATAAACAATACCACAAATCACAAGAAATGCAGCACAGCTGCCAAAATGTCCACAGTCCTTATAAGAAAAGAAACAGACTGCTACAATCAAAGGATTTTGTTTTCGTTTTGGTGAAATGGAATATTGCATTCTCTCAGAGGGTTTCTGTCTCTGATACCATCAAACAGTCTTGGCAGTAAGGACAGTAGAGACTATGCTCTAGTGTGGTTTTGAATAAAGCCACTTTGAAACAGGAAAAAAAAATACAAGGAAGATTTCAAGCAAAACTGAATGAGAAAACTATGAGAAATACTTAATTCCTTTTATGAAGGATTCACATTATTAAAACTACTACTTGTTTGCTGTCCATTTCTTGGAGTTACTATTACCATTTTAATTTCTTGGCCTTTCTATGAAGGAAGGAAAAATGTTTCTTTTTCTGAGTAAGCATTAAATATATAACAAGTTTATAATGAATACAGAAGGAAAAGTAAATAATGAATAGAAAACATGCTTGTTTAAATGAAAGTATGAGTATTTCTTAGGTGGTAAAGCTCATGTACCTTGAGAAGAACACCTCAGACAAATTCAGTTTAATGGTGGGGCCTTTCTTGACTCTATATTCAAAGTAAATAGCACCCATAAACAGCTGCTATTCACCAAACATAGCAGGACTGGATTTGGATGCATATCCATGGACATTTCATTAGTCTCTGATCTGCCCTCTTCTTAAACAAGTAACAGAGAACAGAGTACACACTGTCTAGAGAAGTACAATTTGCTTTTCAAAAAGATCTCCGAATCTTAGCAGTGCAATGCCCCCAAAATATCTTCCAGTTAGGTTTTTGTGAGAGAATTTAGCAGCATTAATTATGAATTTGCACTTTGAGACTGAAAAACAGTAAATAGCACAGTGCATATATATGTACATATTTAACTGCCAAAGAAGTATTATTTCACTTGTAAGTTCTGTTCCTATAGGCCTAGTTTGTTCCAAGACCTAATAAAAAATTCTCAAGGACAATCACAATAAAAGTATAACCGAGACAGTTCCCTTCTGAAACAAAGAGCAGGTATTATCCTACCATCATATCATATCATACCATTTTAAATATGTTTCAAATGATGTAGAAAACACAAATCAGTCCTTTGAACTTAGTTCAGGAATCAGCTTGGTAGTTCGGAGTCTAGCAGAAAGGTCCAATTATTTCTTGTTCAAGTATAACTTCTCTCCCCTATTCTAGTGCTGCACTTTCCCGGCTCTTAACAACCCACAAGGCCTTATTATTATGGTGCAGGATGTCCTGTCTGTGGTTTCAGAAGAATGTGGGAGGGACATATTCCAACGTGTCTGTGATGCTCAGGACAACTTTCTTTGAACTAAGACCTGGGATGTCACTGCAGGCAGCTAATATGTTTCAGGAGTAATTTTTTCCTGTAACATTTACTTGGTATGTGATGGGTTTTGTTCATTCATCAGAAAGAAGCCACAAAGCTGAAAATAAGGAAATACAATCTAAAAATGTATATTCTTTTGTTCCTGTCCTAACGATCATATCCCTGGCAGTTGAGGTAAAACAATAATGAGAAATCCTTACCTGTAATTAAAGAAAACCAAGTTAAGTTCTGACTTCAAACTTCACTGGATTTTGAGTCACTGCATTAATGAGGATGCAGGAGGAGGTTGCTCCTTTTGGAATGGAAAGCAGAAGCAGCAAATGCCTGTCAAAGAGACAAAATGAAGAGCTGCTATTTGAAAACTAACAAGGTTGGTATGCATATTAGAGGAAAGTAAATGACATTTACTGCACCCACATAAATTACTTCAGTGTCATGAAAAGGTACTCAAGTTAGTTTTAAACAAGCAAACTTTGATCACTGTAGATCATTCATAGCAGTACAGTGAATCACACAGATGAATTTTCTCTGCTTTCTGGACTTCCCTGATGCCCCACTGACCAGGTTCTGTCCTGTGTTGTCCAGAGTGAGCCAACCCAGACACATCTACTGCAGTTGCCTTTGTGTCCACAATACTATGTCATAACACAAAAATCGCTGCAGACTTTCAGTTTACTTTCGCAAGTGAAGAATCTTGCTTGAAACTTAAATCTGCTCAGTAAATTCCAAATGCCACCATAAACTGGAATCAATGAATCCAGTCATTTGTGTATTACATATAAAGATACTGGGGAAAAAAAATGTGGTTTTAAGAGCAGACATGCAAGGAAAGTGAGAACTGCAGTACTGCATACCACAGACAGCAGAAGGGTACTATTTATAGCCTACCTTGAGATCAAGAATATCAATTAATAAGAATGCTAAGAAGCTAACACTTCTTTAAGTAAAATGTTCAACTGCTGAGGAAGCAACATAGACATAAGAGGCTTCCTTTAGAGCTATTAGCTGTTTGAATTGATTATTAAGAAAGTAGAGGGATGTTACCACTGCAAACATGTTTTCAGTCACTAAACTCTCACTGACCTCAGTAGCAGAAAGATAAGGCTCCAAGGTATAACAGAAAATACCTGTAAGACTTGAGTACAATTCACAGTGAGGCAAGACCTTTCCAGTGTTTCTAGCAGGATATAAAGAAATACATTAAATACTTGTCTCTCTTTAGCTGTCAGGGTGATATAAATGAAACTGGTCACAAAATAATCTTGATTTATAGTACATTACCCTAAGATGTAGTGGATTACTTTGAGTAACTGGTAGATGCAGTCACTTTTTTCACTTTCCAGGCTGTTTGATATTATCATTCATTTTTCTACTGAAGATGATTAGCTTTATTTTAAAACCAGTGTAGGGTGAAGTGAGGTTAAAGATGCCCACTAGTTGTTTCTTTCCATGTTCCTCCATTCAACGGAACAATAGTGCATCTTTACACAATGGAACATCTCTGTCCAAGACAGAAAAAGCAAGTGAGAAAAGCCTGGCTGGAGTTTTCAGAACCACAGAGGGAATTTAGCTAATTATATGATATAGCCATTAATGTTATCTGTTTGACTCTGCTTTGTAAAATAAAAACCTTATTAAGCTATCATTCTGAGCTTTAGTTTTTCCCAAAAAATAAACATTCTGTAGGTAAGGGATCTGAAACATTTACAGTATTTGCCAACTGTTTAAACTACACTTAACACCAAATGCAATTAAATGCAAAGTTGATCAGGACAACAACTTTGCACATGTTTTCTACATAACACTAAACAGTAATGTGGAAGGAGGGAAATTTCAAGAAATGTAAGTTTAAATTTATAGTAAGAAGAAACCAGACTTCCTTGTTAAAACCTGCATGGTAAGAACTGTATAGATCACATAGACAGTGTAGGCAATGTAGACTGTATTTCACATTTTTTAATATCTAGGTACACTTAAAATATATGGCTGCAACCATATATTTGTTGCATGTACCAACAATCAATTTGCACATGCATAGACTAGAACAAGTTCTGGAAAACTTGCAATACCTTATTAAGATGTGATCCTGAATGCTATTTTGCTTTTGTATTTTCTTTTTGCTCATGGACTTTATGTCATCTTTCCTTCTTTTTCCACCCCCACCCTCCCCCATTCCCCTCCAGATACTAATAACTCTAAACATGGATGCTTTGGAAGAGACAAAAAAAATATGGCTGGTTAAAGAAACAGGGTATGCTTGCAACAGCAAACAGTTTACATATTGTGCATGTAAACAGGAACTCAATAGAGCTTGGCTGCATGCATACAAAACATAATTTAGCTAATTAATTATAGTAATGAATTTGTACTAGGCACAATCCAGTTTCTATTAGTTTCCAAGCAACAAGTTCTGTTGTGTAGAATTTTAGTAAAAATGTTTTGAAAACATTAATCACAATATTTCCAAAGAAAATATCACCAACAGGCCAGTTTATTGATAATTTGATAAGGAAAATCACCCTGAGATTATCTGCTAGCATCAGACATCCCAACTTCTCCAAACTCCTGCCTCCATAGGTACTGATATGACATACACATGTCTCTGTGACAGTGTTTGCCATAAGCATGCTAGCAGATACTTTACATCTTCTTTTAATTCAATGATAATACTGAATATTTTCTCACTATGAACATTTGCATGTAATAACTAAATGCTGGAATTCTCTCTTTTTTAATGAATGACAGAACTTGTAAATAAAGTGGCTCTACAAAACTATTCATTTTACAATACTTATAACATTTAGTCTATTAGTTTCATAAGCAAAAACTGGAGCTAAATTTCTCATTCAAGAACTGTTGATTTCACCACAGAAAACCCAAGGTAAGATTTTTATGTATAACTGAGTTTACAGTACTGAAGCATTTTAACCGGAAAACACCAACCATAATTTTTACATCATGGTAATCTAAACTTAGCTATTATTGAATCTGCTCTTAATGCAGGCTTTAAGACTGAAGTAAATTACTGCAAAATAATATAATGAGAAGGTGTATAGATGTATAACTGTTACAGTTACGTAAGAATTAGATTTCTATTCCTTTATAGATTTCAGGGGTCTGGATATTTTGTTCTGCAACAGAAAGTAAGAAATTCTCTATGCTACTCTTGAAATCAAACTGGGAAAAAATATTTAGGGTTGTGCAAACTTTGTTTTGACGACACATAAGCATTGAACTCTATTTTAGCCCTTACTAAGAACTGTTTTAGAGTGGAAAAACCAGAATGTTTAAAGATGTTGCTGTTATTTTTGTTTGGTTTTAATAATCAGTCCCCAAGTCAATCTTTCTGTGAAACACTTCTATTTCAACAAAATGACATTTTTGGATGAATCTGAATTTACATATAGTTTCATTCTAGATTTTTTTTTTTCTGTTAAATGTTATCTTTTATAACTTTGACTAAAAAACTTTAAAACATAAGTTAACTTCTTCCACATATTTTATGAAAGTTATTCTATACAATTTAACCAACTTTTAAATAGACTAACATGTCCGTGGCAAAAAACACTAGTATTTTAACACGCATAATTTTGGTTTCAGTGAGGTGATAATTTGATTCATAGGTAACTCTAAAGCTCTGGTTTAAGTAAAAGGAAAGCTTTTATTGATTCACAGTCTTTTGAACCTGATAGAGTTTACGAGTTAGCTGTGTAACACTAATGAGAGCTGTCTTAAAGCCCGGTGTTTAAAGTTAAGCTCCTAAATTAAGCACCTTAATCAAGCAGCTTCGTTGGCTGGTATGCTAACCCGCTGCTTGCTACCAGTGTTCTGCTAGCAGCACAAAGAAAAGATGAAACTGTAGTGTGCAAGAGGCACATTTCAAGAGAAAGCAGTGACTTCCAGTCTAGAATCAAGGTACATTAAGCAGTTATTCAGGACAGACTTCATCCTGACAAGACTGCTTTAAAAGGAAAAGGAAAAGCAAACCAACCTGGGGGTGGGGAGAATTTGCTTAGTTACTGTGCAATCAATGTACATGTGTTTGGTTAGGTCTGTGGCTACAACCACCTCAAAACCACCTTATTAGAAAGCATATTTTACTACAATATGCTTTCAAATCAAAGGAACAAACCAAATATGTCCTTATTTTAAATCCTACAAAATAAGATACCTGTAACAAGACTGCTTTACAAATCAGAGATTACATGCTTTTAGTTCCCCTGAGGAATAGAAATAATCAAAATGATGATGTACTCATAAGTAAAGGCTGTTCTGTGCCAAGAATTTTAATTGACAAGCAGTTATGTCAAGACAGCAAAAGACAGCTGTGTAAGCTAAAAGAAATGAGATAATTTTAATAGAAAAATAGCATGGACTCCTTCAGCAATCAGTGTTATTTTGTAGGTTGACAGTCACTAATGGGATTTGGGCAGGTGGGGCAGTGCTCAGAATTGTTTGGGATCTTTTATAGTTTATTTTCTGTGAGCAATAACAGGCACATGTGAGCTTTCAGATACGTGCTGCTAGAAGAAATTAAATGATCAAAAACTATAACTATGCTGTTCAGAGTACTGGCCCTCTCTTCTGAATTGGGCACTGAGCCGTAACCTTGAAAATACCATTGCCCACCTCACTTGCATGCAGACACCTCTGAAGTCTTAGACTTGCTAACAGAAGATGGGGAAATTTAACCTTCAGAAGGAACTTGTCCTACAACCCAACTATCACAGGATACCCAGAGCTTGTGGAATACCTCACTGAACGAGTCAGGCAAAATGTGCATCTAGGTCCCTGGAAAACAACTAGTTGCTATGATCTGAATTACAGTAAAAACAGTAAATTGAAGCGGAGCAAATTGCTTTAGTCTACTGCAAATAATTGCAGGCCTTCAAGGAGACCTGCCTGGCTCCCACTAGAGACATCAGAGTTCCTCCTTAAGAATCAACTCAAAGGCCTTTTTTGTAGTTTTCTGAAAGGACTGAGAGGCTTTGTCTCCATGCTCACCATGAGAAGCAAGAGAACAAGCTGTCAGTTAAAGATACTTTCATGTAGTAATAACTGGGTTGCCTCCAGCAAGTTACCAGCTATGTAGCTGTCACTGCTTTTAAGGTATCACCCTGTGTCAGAACGGCGCATCAGGAGGTAAGATTCCATGGGACAAACCCATGGGTTTTGGTTTAAACACTGCCACGTGATCACAAGCACAGAAAATAAAACACAATAAACTTTAGAGCAAGTTCCTGGCAACTTGGTAAAACCAGACAACACTGAAATGCTTTCACCTTTAAAATAAAACTATCTGCATAGCTCTGCTCTCTGCCATA